TATTAAAAAGTTTGAAATGTAGGCATTACATATCGAGTGCATTCTTATTCTTTGTAAGTACTACAAATTATGTCCTGAAGCTTATGTTAGAAACATGCACCACTCTAGACCATGAACAGCTGGAGACAAAGTTATCTATATTTCTTTCTGCAGGAGCAGCCAGAACAGAAATTCTTTTTTTTTTTTAATTTTTATTTTTTTAAATTTTATTTTGTAATACAATTCAGTTCTACATATCAGCCATGGATTCCCTTGTTCTCCCCCCTCTGGTCCCCCTCTCCTTCCCCCCAGCCCACCCCCCATTCCCACCTCCTCCAGGGCAAAGCCTCCCCCGAGGACTGAGATCAACCTGGTAGACTCAGTCCAGGTAGGTCCAGTCCCCTCCTCCCAGGCCGAGCCAAGCGATCCTGCATAGGCCCCAGGTTTCAAACAGCCAACTCATGCAATGAGCACAGGACCCAGTCCCACTGCCTGGATGCCTCCCAAACAGATCAAGCCAATCAACTGTCTCACCCATTCAGAGGGCCTGATATAGTTGGTGACCCCTTAGCCATTGGTTCATAGTTCATGTGTTTCCATTTGTTTGGCTATTTGTCCCTGTGCTTTATCCAACCTTGGTCTCAACAATTCTCGCTCATATAAACCCTCCTCATTCTCGCTACTTGGACTCCCAGAGATCCACCCGGGGCCTAGCCATGGATCTCTGCATCCAGAAACCTCAGTAGTTGGATGGGGTTTCTAGCACGACAATTAGGGTGTTTGGCTATCCCATCACCAGAGTAGGTCAGTTCAGGCTCAGAACAGAAATTCTTAACTTATTGTTTCAATATGTACTTTAGTTTTTTGCTTATAAAACAACTCAACTTTCAGCTCTCACCCACAGGGGCTTATTAAATGATATATGTAATGGTCTATCTATGTGTATAAACAAATATGAACATATCACATTAACTTTAGTTCAGTTAATAGCTAGTCAGATGTGTTACTTGAATGCATGAAGAAAGGCTATCCAAAGTATTATGGACACTGAGTGGGTCTTCAGTATTCTAAAATCGTAGTTGAAGTTTTCCTGTGCCCCACCTGGCCTGTGGTCAGGACAAATCTCTCTTACCCACCAGTCCTGCAGCCGCTTGGACCCAAGTAAACACACAGAGGCTTATATTAATTAAAACTGTATGGCCTAATGGCTCAGGCTTCTTGCTAGCTAGATCTTACATCTTAAATTTACCCATTTCTATAAATCTATACCTTGCCACATGGCTCGTGGCTTACCGGTATCTTTACATCTTGCTTCTCCTGGTGGCAGCTGCTGGCAGCATCTCATGACTCAGCCTTCCACTTTCCAGAATTCTCCTCTCTGCTTATCCCACCTATACTATACTTCCTGCCTGGTTACTGGCCAATCAACATTTTATTTATCAATCAATCAGAGCAACACATTCACAGCATACCCAAAGACATCCCCAGCATAAAACAGTCCCTTGTTAGTACCATGTACCTATGCTGAGTGTCCAGTGGTTCTTAGGGGCAGTGGCATTTGTCCTGATCCAAACTACAGTTGATGTGCTTTCCCTCAATTTGAAATGTAAATGAGTAGGGAGACTTCATTCACTGTGTGTATGTTCTTTACCACACTGAGCACACAACAGTATGAAATTAAGTCAGAGGACAAAACCCACTACAGTGCCAGCATGGAGAAGCTTTGACAATGGATACACACTTCTAACATGGAGAATGTGATTATATACCACTCAGACTGACTTCCTAACACCCTTTGATTGTTTTTGAGTTCTTTCTTATATGAAAGAAAATCAGAACATGCACACACACACACACACACACACACACACACACACACACACCCCAAACACAAACAAAACCTTGGCTATTTCCTGTGGAAATTCAGATTGAGAGCTCTTGTAGGACAGTGCCTTCTCATTGGAAATCAGACAATGTCTTTGCTGCCCTAGGCTCTATCAACTATAAGCCTTCTGGAAAATAAGAAAAGTTGTCAGTGTGTCTATTACACAAATGTAACAGGGAAGGCAAGGTTGAGTGTTACATCTGTACGATTCATAAAACTGAGGAGACCACAAACTTTCAGCTGTAGCTGATTAGGGAGATTTCAGAAATACATTTTTGAAAGATTATACAAGTACATTCCTTGGCTGAGAGTTTTCTGTTTTCAGGGAGGGGATCTAGGTAACTATGGAACTGTTTCACATAATTGTTTTCAGATAGCTTTGATTTAAAGTTCTTTCTTTTTTTTTTTTTTTTTTTTTTTTTTTTTGGTTTTTCGAGACAGGGTTTCTCTGTGTAGCTTTGCGCCTTTCCTGGAACTCACTTGGTAGTCCAGGCTGGCCTCGAACTCACAGAGATCCGCCTGGCTCTGCCTCCCGAGTGCTGGGATTAAAGGCGTGCGCCACCACCGCCCGGCGATTTAAAGTTCTTAAGATCAATATATATGTATATAAATTTGTTCTATACTGGGGAAGTATAAAAGCTCTAAATATTATGAAATACCATATGCTAAGAATCGTCCGGGACAAACTAGAAAAACAGTGTTGCCATAGAATATCTAGATGATAAGCAAAAGAAAGGGATATGAGTTATGGATCCTTAGATATTTAATTAATGTCCACAGAAAGGTAGGTTATGAAGAGAAAAGCGGCATGGCTGCCAGGGTGACAGGGGCATGTTCTGAAAGGAAAACGAGGGGTCCATTAGCTGGATGCCAACTTTCCAAGAAATGTAACACTGTCTACTTGACAAGTTAATTTGGATACCATTATAAGTATGTCACAAAACATGTTTTACTACATGCTGCAGTTTGGGAGTGTCCACAAAGGCTCATGTGTTGAGGCTTGACCTCTAATTGGACATGCTGTTTGGGAGGTAACGGGGACTTAGGGAGGTCAGTCCTAGCTGGAGACAGTGTGTCACTAAGGGCAGTCCTCTGAAGGTTAGAGCAAGCTTCTAGTCTCTCCTGATTTCTGTCAGCCATAGTGTAAGACACTCCTCTGTTCCATAAGTTGGTCTCTTTGATATTTTGGTCACAGTGATGAAAATGTAACTAATACACTGTGGTGTATTGATTCTGTTGGGATTGGGAGGGGGAATGACATTCAAAATACCTTTTAAACCAACTTTCTATGGTGTCCTGTGAAACACTGCAACAAAATGAAAATTGAACTCAACTGAAAAAAAAAACTTTCATAGCAAACCATTGTTTAGAGTTCAGGGTCACAGAATAATTGATTTCTTTTGGCTTCAGTAAGACAAGTGCTTTACTTGTGAAGATGCTGTCCAAGGCATTTTTTGGGGGGGAGGTGGTGTTGGTAATTTGGAGGTATTTCTTTTAAACCTCTCAAAGATAATTAAAAGTTGCTACAGGATAGTTTTCTTTAGCAAGCACAAAGACAAAAGAAAAACATTAGGATCATGGATGAAAGGAAAGTCTACTGATCACAGTGGTCTGTAAACACCAACATTCTGTAAGATGTAAATACCAGTAACTGTGATATATCTCCACACAGGTCTAAGGCTAGTTACAATAAAAGCAGGTTCTAACTCTCTGAGAGAACAATGACAGTGGTCTGACAGTAGAAGCCATTGAATTATCAGATGGATGCTGTGTAGGGATGCACTGTTCCCATACAGTGAAATCCATAGACAAACATGTTTACTTATTTCAATCTTTGATGGGTTCTGTGCTGAGACATTAGAGCAAAATGACATTAATTTAAAAACTGTTCTATGTCAGCCTCTGAGAGCACTTAAATAATTATGGGATGATCTTGGACATCAGAGTTTATGGCCTGGTGAAAAAGGCCACACCGAGAGAGAGTAAGGCTGGAGCCATTTCAGTGTAGTGGGGGAGGTGGACGCGGATGCTGTGCACTAAGGATATCAAGGTGGGGGAGGGGAGAAAGTGCAAAGAAAGGCATGTGGCACATGCGTTCCTGGAGCTTGGCAGTGAGCGTGATAGAGTGAAGGTCTTGGCCAGAGAGACAAGCAGAGTAAAGAAAGGCTTTCAGGCTTCTACTTGCTCTTTATTTTAAGGTGATTTAATGATGTATCTGGAAACCAGGAAGATTCCAATGGAGAGAAGTGGTGAGGGGACCAGGAGAGGGTTAGGAAGAGCAAGACCATGAATCTCCACCAGAGCCTGACTGGGTATAGCAGAGGGAGAAGTAAACAAATGAAGGCAGTGTCTTAAATTTGGGTCCTTCTCTGGAACTAAGATGGACAAGCTTTCTTCTGTGACCACTGTTGTCAGGCTGTAGTTTTGAAATGGAGTCTGAATAAATCTAAACCTTTTAAATAAAAGACTCATGTCCCTCCATTTACATAATTTAAATTAAAACATCAGTTCTAATCAGTAAACACAAAGCAAAGTAACATAATTTGAAAGTGACAAATGGCATGGGGCTCTTTTAGGTTTAATAAAATAATTTAAATAGTCTTAATATGAAAGTGTGCCAAATGGAATTCAAGTAAGTCTCTGCTTTCTCTGAAGGGAAATATTGTTGGAGCTGAACCATAAATTACACATTGTACCTGACAAAATTATTGCTTCATGTCATTTGCATCAAACCCATTATCTTGAATTCTGTTGCCTGGATACTAGGATTCGTAAGTTTAATGCACTGTAGATGGATATTGAAATTTCAAACAAAATTCCAGCAATGCATTCTAAAAAAAAATAAGTGCTTGTAGACACAAAGGAAATATCTTTGTTTGCAGCAGCTCAAAGTGGTTAAGTTTTAAAGAAAAGTGCACTGGTTTTGAGTGAAGGATTTAGAACGACACCTGTCTAGTCACATTAAATTCACACTGTATTTTTTTGTTTGCATTTTTACTATGGACATGGAGAAAAGTAAATATTTTCTTTGTCTTTGAATGTTATGGCATGGAATGTATGGTCCAGGTACTGTTTATCCTATGTAATTACGCACTAACACACACATGCATCTTTAGAATCTGTACTTTCAACTTACCTGCTCCCATGCGAACACGTGCTGATTAAAATAATACTGGATCTGTTCATTTGCAATGTTAATGCACAGCTGCTCGAAGGAGTTTCTTTTGAAATTTTCAAAGCCGAATATATCAAGAATGCCGATGCTCAGCTCCTCATCCCCACTGGAAGAATTAAAGAAGTGTTCCTTGAGTTATTGCTCATTTCCTTAGGAGGTGATGCAAAGCAGAGCATCTTGGAATTCCCATTGATGACTGAGTTAATTAAACAAGTCTCTCCACAGAAAACAAAGATAATGGAGGTAAGATTAATTTTAATATGTGCATGGAACAGTATTTTTACTAAGGAACCCACTCCCATGTTCTTATACACCTCAACAGAAGTCCCTCCATGCCTCCATGGGGTGTAAGTACAGTCATAGCCCTGTGTGAGTCAAGCACTCTAGAACAACCTGGCTCATGTGCAGAGCATCGCAAACATACAGACAACCAAAACTTTACCAGAGACTCAAAAATTCTTTTAAAATAGAAAATGTCTTACTACAAATGTCTTAATTATTCTCAAGGAACTTTTATTTATATTTTATTTATTTGCTTATTTGTATTTAAATACAAATCAAATGTCAACCTAGAGAAAGATACAAATATGTAGGGATTCATCTGATAGTTAAATGCTATAAGCCAGTTGTGGTGGCACACACCTGTATTTTCAGCACTTAGGAGGCTGAGGCAGAAGACTTGACAGTTCAAGTCTGGAATGCATAGTGACATACTGTTTCAAAAAACAAGTAAAAACCAACCCAAAGGGGGAAAAGCAACAAATGGTTTTCAAAATACAATTAAATATTATTTTACGCATGAATTACCTCAAATGCACATTTCTTTCTGCTATTACATGTTGCTAGTTCTGTTCACTAAAACTTAGATAATTGCTTAAAATTTTTGCTTCTCTCAGTAAATAGACTGAAGTAATTTTATGTGTACTTTAAAATGAAACTACAAAAGCTTCCCTTTGGGTTTACCCTTTAGTTAGCATAAGCGATGCTCAGTGTTATGTGCTGAGGATGTGTGACTGGAAGCCAGAATCTGCATGTGTTCCCACATTTGGAGAAAGTGACTGACTAAGAGCTCAGAGTGGAAACATGTGACTTCTAAAACTTTAGCCCCACTGGATTATAGGTGTCACACATCTATCCCAACACTTAGGAGGCTGTGGTAGGAGAATCTTGAATTCTAGGCCAGCCCGGGATGCACAGACTGTCTCAACAACAAGAAATCTTAGCAGCTGTCTTGACAGCTGAACTAAACTATCACAACAGGTCTTGGTTCAGTTTTTTTTTTTTAAACTAGCCACAATTAAGATAGCTCTAAGTCTTGGCTAGTTATGGCTCATGTAAGAACAATTAATATTTAGCAGACATGCTACAATGGGGTTTTTAGCACACCACCCTTCTGGGTACCATCTAGTGTTAAACATACAGGTAAGAGTAACAAAGTGAAGCCAATGGCCCTGATGATCTTGTTTACAGTATGTGGAATATACAAATGTCAAAACATTCCTGGATGTTTTGTCTTTTTTACATGATGCTTAACATCATAGAGATGGTCACTAATGAGCAAAAAGCCATTTTGATATTTAGTCATTCTGGGCAAACTGCGTAATGATCTGAGGCTCAGCTTATTAGGGACTGGGGATGCTCAGGAATGATTGTGATGGTGACATCCACGGAGTTAAGACCCATGGGCTAACAATGGGTGATCTGGACAACCTAGCTGTATATTATGATAGAGGATAGGCTTTAGTGGAAAATAATGAACAAGTGCATGTGTGAAGTGTGCATAAGGTGATCTTTCGTACTTAGTAAGCAGCTACACATGAAGATAAGGTCATCTTTGTGTAGATGTCCATCTTGCTTTTTCACATACAACATTTCTAAAATTCCTATGACCTATGGCAGAAAAAAACTTCAGATAGTCTGTAAGGACTTCCATCTCTACAAAGCTAGTCAATGGTGGCTGTGATTCTCTTTCTACTGTGAAGTCCCAGGAGAACCACAGACATAAGGTGTCAGTGCTTATATGCAGGCTACATTGACTATTATCTACCATGGTCTTGTGCACTTCCGAATCAAACTTCCTTGGAAGTCACAGCACCTATTCCTGCAGGTGCAGTGAGAGCTAAATGAAAAGAAAGCTTTGCTTCATAGTCAGAGTTTAATTTAAGGCTATGAGACAAAAATAAAGAACGGCTGGACTGACATTTTATACAAGTGTAAAACGGTACACACTTCACGGTACACAGTCTAATTAAGAGAATATTTGAATTGATAATATGATGCCACACTTAAAAATCTCTTTCTACCATGATTACTAATATTGCTGCAGTTTTTCTTATAGCAATCAAGATATTTCATAGTTACATGGAATGATAATGTGATGGCACTACTAGGAGATGAAGCATATCCATAGGAACACAACTTTGATAATTAAGTTAAACCAATCAGAAACATAGTCAAAGGGACTTACACAAACCCAAAACAGACACACCACCTAACATTTGCAGAAAACAGTTGTATAGAACATTTACCTTGGTGATGTGTCATGTTTCAACAAACTGTTAATACAATTGACTATCCAGCTAAAGAGACGTCCATATAAAGTTTTAGACATGGCATCTCGGACATCAGTAGCTTTTTCTACCGTGTTGGGTCGGATAATTGTTTCCCCTCTAGTGACCACACAGTGAGAGGTAAGAGCTTCCTGTAGCTCATCTGCTTGAATGCAAAGCAAAGACGCTGCTGCAAAACCAATAGATGATTGTTAGAAGACAGTGAAAATGACTATTTTCAGAAAACAGAAACGTCTAAATTCAACTGCAGCACCTGACATTACATAAATACGTGACTGTTTCACGGTATCCGAATAAGCTGTCATTCAGTATTAGTCTCCCGGCCTCTTCCTGATGCCTTTATTCTTGCCTCCACTAGCCAAAGTGTGGCTGCTGCATGGCACAACACAACAAGAACCAAACTGCCTGAGAGAATGCCACAGCTGCACAGGTGTGCAGTTACTCATGTGACGTCAACACTAGTTTCACCAAATTGTGCTAAATATTTTAAAAGCACAATGAGTAGGTTTGGTAGAATTTTGATATGATTCAAGTGGACTTGAATGACATTTGACAGCACACATCTGACAGAGCAGGAACTTGACATTCCCATACTTCTTGTTCAGCTTTCTTTTTTGTTTCATATTCCAAGTGCTAAATTTTCTTAAAACGTGATACTCAAACATATATTTAACATTTAATGATATCCAAATATAATAGGAATTTACAGTTAATGATGCTGGAACTTAGTAAGGAAAATTCATTTTTTTTTAATATAACAAGTATCTTTTTTCTTTTTGTAGGGAGGGCTGAGTCCAGGGCTTTGGGCATACTGAACCAGTGCTCTACCACTGAATCGTCTACTTACACCTACAATAGACATCTTTAGCTAAGTCTACTGCATGAAGAGAGGCTAAATCTTCAAATAAGTTACTATATTTAAAAATTTTCCCAACATTTTGAATTTGTTCTTAGACATCCAACAATGTAGTTTTTGGTTTGTGAGCAAGATCAGTGAACTCTGGCTTGACCTGTTTCTTCACATTGAAGACGCAAGAAGCCATACATGGTCCTTACAGAAATTCTGCCTTTCAGGTTAACACGACTCATCTCTTTCCTTATTGGCATAGCTGCTGCCATTGCTCTGCACAAACACTGTATCCTAATATTTTAATCATTTCCCATTCTCAGTATTGCTTATAAATAGCTTAATTTGCAGAACAATATTCTAGCATCTATACCAATTATGTTGGTAATTTTAAAAATCAGTTGTTTTCCTATGTGCATAGTTGTAAAAAAATGTAGCATCTCTTGAGCATAAAAGATCATAGAAACTCCACAACTGTTCCAAACTATGTAAACACACTGAAGCTTTTTGACACAGCTGTTTGATTACCCTCCAAATACTTGCTAATTCTGTTCTTATTGGCCAATGAAAGACCGAGAAAATAAATGTAATTTCATAGATTCGAGACGTTTTACATTATTAAAGTAGCCAGTATGACAGGAAAAAAATTCTTCTATTTAATTATTCCTTATAAAGATGAACACTTGCTTCCTCCAAATTTTTGTGACTAGTGGTTCTCATTTTATTGACTGCCTTCTTGCCTGACATACTCACCCTTTCCTAATCAACTTTTGAGAGCTCTTTAAGCTTAGAGAGAGTGATGTTTTGATACAGATGTTGCAAATATTTTCTCTCATTTCCAAAAATGTTCATTTATGTTTCTTTACTATGAGTTTTAATTTTTACAGTTAAAAGCTACTTTTAAAAAAAGATCATTTGCTTTTGGACTTCTGAATATAAAGTCCTTCTCACCTCAGGATTATGCTTCACTGATGCTTTCCTTAGTTTTCTTGCCCTGAAATTTGTAGCATTTAGAATCTTTAGAGGGGCCAGTTAGAAAGCTCAGTGGGTGAAGGTGAGGCCAAGCCTGATGGCCTGGGTTTGACTCTGGGATCTACATGGTGGAAGGAGAGAACCAAGATGTCCTCTCACCTTTTCACGTGTCATATAATGCGTAAGTAACTAAATGCAATAAAAATTTAAGAATCCGTTTTGGTATACAATGTTTGGAGAGGATTCAAGTCTTCTAGCTGTCTCCCAGTTAGCAATTGGTTGTCTCTACAATGCTGTCTCAGTTGAATAGTAATGTCATTGTGGCCATTTTAGTTGGCTCTTTTGCCGAATGTTATCTCCCACTGACTTGTATGTTTGTTTCCATCCAGATACTGTTCATTCATCTGGCATATATGCATTGGGTGTTTGCTACATGCTGGGCATTTTATGTAAGGCTATATTGTTAGGAACAATGCTTTGGAAATAAGGTTTCAGTCTTGATGGTCTTTATCCAGAGGAAAGGAAAGCCAACTAAGAAATTTAAGTGGGGGGAAGGAGGAAAGAGGAGGGGGAAAGGGATGGGAAAATGAGATAGAAGTAAAAGAGGAGGGGAGGAAAATAAGACGGGGTGCTGATGGAGGATGGGGATGAGATGGAGAACCCATAGATACATTGGCTAAGTGGTTTCTGCATGAGCCTAGAAATGATCAGCTCTCTAATCCAGTAAATGATGGGGAGGTCACTCACTTCAAGCAAGAAGTGACCATGTCATGAATGAGAATGAAGATAGTAAACATAACAGAAAGAAATAATTGTCCTTGATTTAGAGATAATTGTTTAAAATGATGTTATAAGTAATTTAAATGCAAATTAATGTGCTTAATTTTTTTCTACAACTGGCTATTCTAGGAAGTAGTTTGAATAATTTTAATTATATATATATATATTACTATTATTCCTTTGTGAACTATTTGGTTTTCCTGCTATATAAAAATAGGTTTCAGTGATTAATTTTTTAGTTAGTTTGTTTCTACATTTATTCTTACGTATGGCTATTATGTTTTGGGTCTTAAGTGTCTCCCAATGGCCCATGTGCTCAAGGCTTGGTTACCAGGCAGTGGTATTTTTGAGAGGTGTTGGAACTTTCGGGAGGTGGAGTCCAGTGGAAGAAGTTAGGTTATAGGTGTGTGCCCTTGAAGGGGATGTTGGAATTCTCCTATCTTCTCTGTCTGTGCTTTCTTGTCACAGGAGGTGAACACATTTGTTCTATTAAGTGCTCTCAGTCTTGATATTTTACTTCATATGGGCCCAAAGCAACAGGCAAGTGACTATAGACAGAAAACTCAGAAACCATGAACCAACATACTTCATCCTTTAAAGCGATTTATCTCAAGTATATGTCTCATCAGTGTGAAGCATAATAATATAACCTAACAACATTGTGTCTCATTGTGCTGGTCACAGATAACACTTCAATTATGACTGGGAGGGGGCATCGCTTTTTATCAATGATGTTACACCATTATGACTTTCCTTCTAATAATCTAGTGTCTTGTGTGCCAATTGTATTATTTTACACACAAAGAATCAGTACAGGTGTTCTCAAGGTTTCCAGGTCCATGACAATCACTATATCAACCTCAGTCAACTGCTCTAGTTCTCTTACAAAATTGCTTCCAAAGCCACATAGGATACAGAAAATAGGTATCTTAGAGACAGCTCTGGACCAATTAAATAAGTAACTGGAGGAAAAATGAATACATAAAAATTAGTATTATGATTCTCTAGGCTGTGAATGAAATTCACAACAAATAAGGGATTATGGGGGTGTATGTCAATATTAAAAAGAAAAGAACAGGATATAGTCTAAATAGGTAAAAGCTATGTCACTGGGAAAAATCAGTGGGATGCCTTAAATTATTAGGGACATTTTGCCAAGCTCCACTATTAAGAGAAAATTTGATTTGGAGCAAGAATGATATGTGTCTCTTGTATGAAAAATGGAAAATTAATTAATCTATGATAAAAGAGTGAATGGAATTCAAACAGTAAAAAAATACACAATTGATACAGGTTCTAAAGACTAGAACACAATTTTAATTCTTTTTTGTACTACATCTTACCAATATTTTCTGCGTTTTCATATTAAAACTCAATTTTTGACATAGTTATAAAAGCTTGTCTATGGAAATACTGTTCATAGCAATCAATTTGCATGTTTTTCTTCAAGATTTGTTTTTCTTAGCTGATTTATTTTTATATTTTTAGTTCTTCCAAACAAGATTTCTCTGTGTACTCCTGGCTGTCCTGTAGATCAGGTTGTCCTTGAACTCAGAGATCCACCTGCTTCTGCCTCCCAAGTGTTGGGACTAAAGGCATGAGCCACCATGCCTGACTTGATAGCTGATTTTTACAACTTTCATGCAGCTGAGTCTGAGCACTCTATGTGGGATCTACATGAGTATAAGTGTTTGAAATTATCCCATGTGACCCAGCATAAGATATGGAAGAATTCAGTTTTGAATGGAAGACAATACAACTCACAGTTCTCCAGAGCTGCGTGATTGCAGATGTAGCTCTTGTCCATCTGGTACTCAGTTGCCACAGAGGAGAATTCAATGTTTCCAACATTCAAGATTGCGGCCAGCACACTATACACACTTCCAAGTTGCTAAAATATATAATAGGAATAGTAGCATCAAATCTGGCCTAGAGCAGTGTGAGGACTATGGCTGGGACAGATGGAGGAAAAGCCTTGGGTTCCAGCACAAGAAGGTCACTCTGCATACTATGATGCCAGACTAAGACCCAAGCAGACAAAGATTCATGTAGCCTCAGCCTCATTCATTATTTTGACTTTGGAGATCAGCACAAAGCTGTTTCCTTATGAGAAGTTAAAATATTTTATTAATGTTAATATAAATAGACACAGAAAGGAGGAGCATTCCTCAGAGGAAGTAGAAATATTCATTAGGTTATAGATAATTTATCTATGTGAACTTTAGAATGTAGTGTTGTTATTATCACATGTCCATTTTCCAGAAGCCATCTTAGAAGTTAGGATGGAGGGAGAGTCTAGAAAGAAGAATCAAAAGGTCCCAGCATCCAAATCCAAGGATACATGGTGGTTAAGACTATGCATAAAAACTGTATACTACAGCTCAGAGTTTATAGTATTCATTACTATTTAACATAGATTCTTAATGTTCAGGAACACGCAGGCATGCATGCACACATGCAAGCTTGCATGTGATTCTCTCTGAAGACACTGGGGGATTTGTCACAGTCTCTGCATGTCATGGTATTATTCCAACTACCTTCATGGTGCAGGAGGCTCAGAAGGCAGCAAACCATGACCTCAACTTGGCATGCCTTGCAGCTATATCGATGGGTCTTGAAGAAGCCTAGCTTCAGGTCCAGGTATGGTTGTGACAGAGGAGAAGTTGAGTTGTTCACAGCATAAAGACTTGTCTATCCATCCAACTATCTATCTCCAGGACTGACAATCACCAAACAGCCTAGAGTAATTTGTATTTGGTAGTAAGTAAAACATTTCTTCTTACATATAAAGTAAACAAAGCTTTGGTAGATCTAAAGACTTTCCATAAACTTTGAATGAACTGGGATTTGAATCCTGTCTCCCAGCTCACAGAATGCATGATCCTTTTCCACTGAGGAAGGAAAGCAGCGTGGAGGAATAGACAACTCCACAGTTCCATGTACCTAGACCAACTCCAGCACTAATTTCTTTACCTGTGGGATGAACAGCATGTCAGGAAATATATACAACAACATGTGATTCTAGAGTCACAGTTACTTCTTGAGCTTGAATTCTGGTTCTTCACGAAAAAAGTTGTGGTTTCTTTGTTTATTTTGTTTTGTTTTTAACAAGGAGATGAGATAACAGAAGACTGTATGAATTCTAAAGGGATTCTATGAACTTTCAAGTGTGTCAGTGGTTCATGGCTCTTGATGTATTTTGTCTAATTTAATTTCAACATACTTTTTCTTCTGATACAGGTGTTATTAATACTGTGACATAAAACCATTTCTTGCGACTGGCAAGATGGCTTAGTGGGTATAGGTGTTTGCAGCCAAGCCTGACAGCTGGAGTTCAGTCTCTGGACCCACATCATAGAAGGAAAGAATCAGTTTCTACAAGTTGTCCTCTGATGCCCACATACATGCTGTGGTGTGCATGTACTCACACATGTGCACACGCACGCTCACATATGTGCACACGCGTGCACGCACACACACACAATCATAAGTGTGACAACAAACTCATTCCACCCTGAAGTGCAGAAAGCACTTCAACATTTTATCATAAAGCTTATAGGATAGTTAGAGATTTATTTGTATGGATGTCAAATCTTCCCCACTCAAATCTATACAGAATTGTTCAAAGAAGCTCTGTTGGAAAGATTGAAAAGTTTGTGGGAATAACACCCGAAGGATACTCAAGTTGTTTTCTTCTATAAACAAGTCAACCCTTCAAAATAGAGTTGCCTGGTTGGAGAAGGCATGATAGTTATTGCTCCGACTTGGTTCTGGGAATGGAAACCAGAGTCCCTTGGGGATGATGGCCCTGATGCTTTTGGTTACATTCCTTTCTTATAGCCTGAATCCACACCTGAAGCCTTGCTGAAGACCATGCAAGGAAGGAGAAGGGAGGGGGACAGTGACTATACTGAAAAGCAGGTTGGTACATGGTAGGTCAGGACAAGGTGATCTCCCCCTGCTGTGGAACGTGGCACCCCACAGTCTAGTCCTGGAAGAGCACAGACGCTCATGCTCCCATTGAAAAAGGACAGAGGAGTCCGGCTGAGGACCAGATGTTCTGAGAGATTACATACTACTGGAGGCACTGTGTGTTCTTTAAGGATGATGTGTACTTCATTCTATAGGAAGGAATCACCATGCACACATTGCTAATTGTTTGTGTTGAGTTAACCTTCAATCTAGATGGAACCCAAGTGAATGGATAGGAAGGAACTCATGACTCAGTGACCTTGGTGTTTGTGAACACTGCTCCTGCTATGGATAGGAGATGATAGGGAGAAAAGTACCAGCATCACAAATCTTAGAGATAAGACCAACCATCTTACCAGAAGAGCAAGAGTAAATCTTGGAATGTTGACTGTCTTGTTTCCCTTCCTATACAACCTGCTTGCTGGAGATGAGATGTGAGGAAAATCTTTAGAATAATTTTCTACTGTCTTCTCAGACCACTGGCTGTCTGAATAAAACACAGCTGAAAGATTCAGCTTCTGTTTGTGCCTATGTGAGGGGCAGCAGGGCCACTTACAATACCAGGCAAAAGGAGCTGATGGGAAAGAAGACCAAACTGTGACTATTCTACAGAAGGGGTAGTATGTTCTCTCTTCTCAGGCCAGATTCTGCAGACACAACAGTAAAACAACATGACTTACTTGTAAAGACTAGAGTGGAGTCCAAAAACTCCTCAGTTTTGGTCATAAGATCACAGACACTAGAAAGTTGGAAGTGACTCAGAAATTAGCAATCTCCACCCTCCTTTTACTGAATAAAAAAACAGAGAAGCCAGTTATTGGTCTAAATCCACATCCAGAAATAGTCAATGCCAAGGACTTCAACCCAGGGACACTGAGTCCCTAACAGGGAGTTAGCCTATACCAGCTGCTTCCTTGATCTTATTTATGGATTAGTTCAAGTCATCAGTGTTGGCTGAGTCATGCAATTTGAGAGTTGTGACTTTTTAAAAATGATTTTTGAATGAAAACCATACCTATGCATCAAATTATTACTTTTGTATTATTAGTGAATGACTGGGTAGAAGGGACACGCCCATTCCTTCCATAACTAGCACAACTAATCTTAACAACTGAGGTGATGGCATTCAGGGAAGCATGGTGCTTTGTATGATGCTTGAAAATGCTTAATTTTCATAAGTATTATTTGATCTCAATTAAAATTCTGGCTGAGAATCCAAAGAAAACATGTCAGCCTGTGACTTTAGACTATTAGAGGAAATGTTAAAAAAAAAAGTTAAAGGAGAAAACAAGGGTCCTTCTTGTTTTAGACATAACAGATGCCTTTATGCAAAGAAAAACAAAAGTTACTGCTTTAATGTGAACTAAATGGTGTGGTAACAATGTTCAGTTGAGTCATCAGACCTCTTAGTATTTATTGTAAAAGGATAATAGCAAAGTAGCTTTGGAAATTGCATGGCTTAAACATTTTGGAGTTTTCCAATTTGTGTTATTTTTAGAGACTGTCTAACTTTGACTTGCCTGTCATTACTTTGGTTTGTGCTGATTCACAAATGCACACGTGAACGGTAAACCCTGGGAAGGCTGAAGGGACAAGGACACTGTGGGTGCTGTCAACACCAATGACATAAGAGGGGGAAGAGGACAGAGAAGCAGAGCTGCAGACACTGTGCTGCAGAAAGCTGTGAGGATGGGATGCTGTGCTCAGGGGCTGCAGGGATCATGCTGCTTGGCCCTTTACTGAAGCTCTTCTTTCAGCTACTGACAAAGACCAGATCCAAGAAAGCCAGAAGGAGTGCAACCAATTCAGGTCTTGGCTAAAACAAAAAAATAAACACCTACTAAGTTCAAGTCTACTGACTCTGAACCAGGCCAGGCTGCCTTCACGTAACTCTTCATGTAACTCTTGGAGTCAGCCTGAGATGGTCGAGAACTTCCAGGGTGGGCCCCCTTGAGCCAGAGCAACAGCTTCTCTAAAACGACCAGCACTGATGATGCTTCAGGACCAGAAACAGATGTTCTAGACTCTTCTAACTCAAGGTTCAGATTCAGATGTTTAGTATACTCTGAATATGTTTAAATTTGGAAAACACAGTTTGACATGCATGCATGATATTCACGTGTTGATCCAAGCACAAAGCTGGTTTCATTTCATTGTTACTCCACATTGTCTGTCATTGAGGGAGATGTGAGTGAACACAGACTCTTATGAGTGTGACTTAGATGTAAACAAACCAATTTAAACTGGTTCCTTGTTCGTAAGATGGGAACCTCTGGATCTGGGAGGGACTGACAAGAAGTTAGGGAGAGCCGTGATGAAGAAAAGGGCAGTGCTGGATTTGAACATGAACTTTGAGTAAGAACTGGAGGTGACTATGCCCAAGAAAGGGTCAGCGGAGGGGTGGAATTAGTGATACACTAGTTGTATCATGGCAGCCAGAGCAGGAAATGTCTCATTGGTACTTCTGCTGAAGCTAACTAGGATTTATAGTAAGATGAAACACCCAGGGGTAGGGGTGGGGTGGGGGAGAAGCTTTGTCTTCTGAGCAAGAATAAGAGCAAAAGATTCAAGCCAGTTCTGGTGGTGCAGGCTGTCATCCCAGCAGGCTGCGGCAGGAGGATCACAAGTTTAAGACTTACCTGGGCTGTGGGGTGACTTTAAGGAGTTCAGGGCCAGCCTGAGTAGCTTAGAGATCCTGTCTGAACAACAACATAAAAAAGGGTTGAATATGTAGGTCAGTGGCACAGCATCTGCCTGACATGCACAAAGCTATAAATTCAATCCTCAGTATGAAAAAATGGGGAAAAAAGATTCAAGTGGTCACTTCTGATACCCTGGACACTGATTAAAGCATTTTTTTTTTGGCTTGGTAGAGCAATGTTGAATAACACTGAAATGCTTAAGCCTGTGAATATCCTT